CAATCTGAGTACATTTTAGCATGGATTAAGCCGTTAGAAATATGATATTGTAGTGAAAATGATAGACCTTTTTTTAAAGGGCCAATAACACTCTTGCTGACTTGACAGCTCCAGAAAATAAAAAATAGCCTTATTCTAAGTACTAGATGTGTTAGTGTCCTACCTGTTGTGTAAATTATCCATTAAGTCCTATTTTACTTGTCCAGAGGGTTCAAAAATATTTTTAAATCCAAGTCACATTTGAAAAGCTTTACGTCAGGCTTTTCAAATCATTTAGTTGAATTTTTCCAATTTTTTAAATTAGGTGTGTTAAGATGAAATTTGTATCATCAATTAATTGGAATATTGTAAAATATTCAGTTACAACAAGAGTGGTATTGAGCCTTTAAGTCAGATTGAATCCAAGGCAGGAGGTTATCTAGCATTGGTATTTTGATTATGTTTTCTTATTTCAATGTATTAAAAAATCATTCTGAGTAAGCCGTGACAAATTTAAAATTTTAAGGAAAAATACAAATGACATATTGTTACTTTAAAGTGTATAATTTTGTAATGAGGTATTCTATATTTATCAGATTAAATGTAGTTTTATAGAAGTAGGTATATTGATTGGAGAAATTGATGGTTACTGTAAGTTTATGTTCAAAGATAATTTGGGTCTCGATCCTCTCGTTGACATAAGTCTGGAGGGCTGTTTAGTATATCAGATGTAGACAATTAGTAACACAGAAAATAAATGTATAGGCGTCCTTCTTGGTGTTGGAATTAATCTAGGGTTGAATGAAGAAGATGGTATTGTGGATCTATGTTGCGAGCCGAGGAATCAAGTAGTTCCTATCGTCCATTATCTTTCGAGAGATACACAGATATCTGCTAGACTGATTGCTTGTCAATATTAGAATCGCTTCCCAGATTTCAATAGATAAAGTTTATTGATGTTATACCTCATCGGGGAACTATTTAACTAATTCCATGGATTTTGACCGCCTTGAGTAGGCTACTGTGTGTAGCTGGAACACGTTTATAGATTAACACACTCTCGATATTGAAGTGTCTAGAAGACTAGTGGTCAACAAGGCCAATAATATTGAATGTTGTTAACGTGATATTTGACGTAAATTCTATATCTAATAATGTAGAGGGATAAGTTCAGATTATTAAAGTCTCCACCACATGGATTTCGAAACACAGATTTGCATGTCTTGTCGGAATTACAAATTGATTTTTATTCATTAAAAGTTGAATTGATATTCACTTCCCTTTCTATCCAACGAAAATAAAACTTTTTTCAAATCTACTACTTTTGTACACCATGTTTTCTGTTAATTTTCGAAAGTAGCTCTCAGACTCATATGAAAATTTAGAAATCACTTATTATATTAGTGCAATTTTTCTGATTCCTAGCACTTAGTTAACTATTTGTTTGTGAATTGAAATTGAATGTATGCTTCTTGGCTATAAATTGTATGGGCTTTGTTCATTTGATATTATAATTATTTTTTTTTAAAAAAGGAGCTCCCTTAAACATACATTATGCAAGAGCTAAATCTTCCTATTGCAGGTCTTTTTTTTAGGCCTGAAATGTTATATAAACTATTAATTAGACATTTATTAACAAAACAGGACCATGATCAACTCTGATGGCATGGGATACTCGAGATTTTAACTAGATTAGAATGGTTCGCTATTTAAAAATTTAATTTGAAAATGGGAAAGTGAGGCTAAGTCTCGAATATACCAGTCCCCTGGTTACGACTATGCACACATACAAACAGTGATAATTTGGCTCAGAATGAAGTAATTTGAATGAAATTTTCAATATTTTCTTGTTTTTTATCATCTATTTTTGAATTATTATAGCAAGAATGACCAACTCTTTATTAAATTCTTAACTAATGTATCTTTAAGAGACCAGATGTGAAATATAGGCATACACATTTTCAAATTTTACAAGACATCAGAAGAATCATGTGTATAGTAAAAAATATTGCTTAGAATATTATTCCTTATAGATTGAAATGGTTAGTGTCTTTATTAAGTATGTAACAGCTATCGTGAGTTGTACCCTACAGTGTATCTTAGTAAATGCAGGAAGACAGCACTAAACACAAAAAAAAAACTGAACCATTGTAAAAAATAAAGAACAAATATCAAATCAAGTGAATGGATCCAAGAGCATTGGGTTTAACCGTTTTAGTTTAAGGTCATACTTTTCTGTCCCAACTGGGTGAATAAAACGGACAGTGTATATTCCTACAAGCAGTGTCTATACAGTGTCATGATATAAAATTAAAGCGTATTATAAAAAATACAAGATATAACTTTCTTTATCTTCACATCTAGTTAATGTTAATAAGGGACATTATGAGCTTTCTCTATTCATCTGGCTGTAAAGACCAAGAGAGAACATTTCGTGGGAGTGTAAACTAGTATAATATTAGAGTAGGCCAACATGTGACAGGTTATGAGATAGCACCTGTTTATTAGGCTTGCTTACACAGGTTGAAGGGCTCTCGTCAAGTCTGCTCCACACTAATGTAGTCGTGTTGACAAAATATTTCTCATATTTGAATTTTAAAATTGCTGTAACTTGTGAGAAACTTTCGGTGTTTGACAACTCGTTTAAATAGTAGGACACTGCCTGTCCAGTACGCCAGTAATGTCCATGTTTTTTACTCATTTCTCACATATATATTGGACTCAATAAACAAGCGTTAGTCTGATAAAACAATGACATTTACCGCTGACCAACATAAAAAGGGCCGCTGGTCACAGTTTACCCCACGCACAGTTCATCTTTTTGTTGACATGCACATACAACAAGTCAACAAGCCGTTTGGTTTGTAAATGGACTAATTATTGAAGACTATAGTAGATGAAGACTTGTTTGTCAAGTACTTGCACCAACAGTTTAGATCTACTCCAAGTCAGTTTTGATGTTGGTCCGAAAATCTCCCCTTTTATTATATGGTGGTGAGAGAGATTTTCAAATAATGGGTGGCATATTATTAACTATTTGAAGAATGTGAGAAATATTTGAATCGTTGCCAATTCTATTTAAAATTATCATGTAACTTTTTTAGCCATAACAAATTTGAAGATTTTTTTGAAAAGCTATCCAATATGAAACAAATAGATGACGAGAGTGGTAATTTTATAAGTAAAGCCAAACCAGTTTAATTTTCGGTTCTTTGTGGTGTTGATAAATAAGAAGCCACACTTATATCACATGAAAGATGTTTTGTTTACAATTTCAAATTTTTGAACTAAAAGCTTTTGAACATTGCAACTGAGTATATTTGGTTTTTGAATTAGTCTTTTTCCCGACAAAAAAAAAAGGAAAATTTTAAAGGGTGTTCCCAAAGATCAAAAATCAAATTGGTGTGGCCTTAGAGAAGAGAACTTGAAATTAGAAATACATTTTAAACATATTAGTGAATAAAGAAATCTTTTGAGATTTACGTAAATTACATGTATGTCAAAAAGGTGAAACTTTATCCCATATTTGGTCTAACAATTGGTAAAATGTAATTGCTGTTGTGAGGTTAATGGCGGTTGATGATATATAATGTAATTAGGTATAATTGGCATTTGGTCAACAAATCCTATATAAAAATAATGTATTTCTTTAAAGCCTTTTAAATCCCCCTTAATACCTCCTCCCATATATCTTGATATCCCTTTTATTCCCCCTCCTGTTGTTCGAGATCAAGATGGTTATTTGAAGCCAGTCAGACGTTTACATGTCCACTTAAAAAATTCTAAACCATCCATTATTTCTTGTCATGTTTTTTGGGCCAGTTTGTTAGAGGTTCACTGATGTACCTGCCTCATAAACATGTTATGGACACGTAAAAGATGATTTATATGGGATCAGGGTTAGAAAAATTGTTGTTAAACCCAGTTCTCATGGATTGGGACAAATTTTCGAAAACAATTTTTGAGGACAAATTATTCCCGAAAACAATTTTTGAGGACAAATTTTCGTGAAACCACAATAAATATGCATGAATGTCCCATCCGATAGCAATGCTTTTTTTAAAACTCAGTTCTGATGGATTTGAACAATTTACTAAAACAATATGATTTTTGAAGGGTATTTCAATCACTCCAAGTCTTTTTGAGAACAAATTTTAAAAAACTAATTGATCTTTGAAGGATGTTTCATTCACACAGTCTTTATGAGGACATATTTTCACACAATTTGATATTTTTGAAGGGAATTCAATCACCGAAAAGTCTTTTCGAGGTCTTATATTTTTTTTTTTTTTCATGAAACCACTTAATAAAGATGCATCAACAAACAATCTGGGCATCTTGGATAGCAAATTTGTTTTTCTAACTACATGTAATTTCTCATCGATGCAGAATCTTTAAGGGGACTCTGCATATTACTTTCATGGAACCACAATAAAGATACATGTACATGACATTGTACATGAATGCCTCATAATTCTAATAATAGTGATCAGCATTCTTACATGTTTAGACTTGATGATAATCTAAGACCAGACTTCTGTACTGTAAAACACTCAAATTATTGTGTGTATGAATATGATGTCAAATTTGACAATAACATTGCAGGAAATGAATTTCCAGTAATGTTTCCAGAAAAATTAAATTATCGGGGCCGGATTTACATCTACCATACTTGTGGGTCCTAGGTCAAACTAAACTCGTCAGTGTTCACGGTGTACACTTGAAACAAGGTAGAACGCTGGCTCGTTGTACGACAAATTAGTTTCAGTAGGCCCCCAGATACCATGGGTCCTAGACCAATGGCCTACTATGCCTATTGGTAAATCTGGCCCAGGAAATTATTTTTATTTGCACTATTTCATATACCATTTCGTTGCATCATAAACAGCACAATAACTTAATATTCTACCGTATATTCCCTTCCCCATAACACACTATCGCGGTGTTATACATGCATTTATAAATAAAAATGAAGCAGAAATTCTTTTTTTATATATTTTTATATTTTATATCATTTAATATTACAAAATAACAAAAAAACAAAAGATTCTGTGATAGAGAGATAGACGAAGAGAATTGACATAAGGTTCAAATATACGAGATTCATTGCCGTATATTTACAACTACTGAAATAAAACCAAACTATCCACTGATTTGAATATGGAAATTGCATTTTCGTGTTCGATCTTAAATTGTCCTAAAACTGATGGGAAAACTGCTGGATTACTACAGCAAGATTTCATCTTATAATAGAAATTGGCATATCAGTCATTGTCAAAAACTTCAGATATTTTTTTAACTTGGCGAGTCTTTTCCTTCTTTATCCGCGAACTGGACATTAAATTTGTTCGATGTGTAATTCATTCATCAATCAAATGTTTTTTTTCTCCATTGATTGAAGAACTTGTATCATTAAGTTGTCTCCGTAATTTGTAGCGTAAAAGTTTACAGTTAATCAATCTGTATATATATACCCGAGGGTTGGGTAATGAATGTGTGAAAGATAAGTATTTTTTTAATACATATTCATCTTCATTATATACTTGTAGCAATTTTCAAATAAACATTTATTATTTTTTAATCTGATGGTTGACATTTAGGTGAAAGTAGAAATGCAGTCAAGGGCATTATTTAGAAACGTTTAAAATAATCTACCTCCGAATATTATCAGGAAAATTTTTCATGTGTTAAAGGCTTGATGCATCATACACATTTTCGCTAAAATATAAAATTTCTCATGGCTTAATCCACGCTTGCTGACATTCAGATACAATTAGATATCTCATTTTTCATTTTAACAAATCCAGTTATTGGGCATTAATTATCTTGAACAGTTTTCAATAATCAACGTGCTTATACTGTATTATCAGAAAGAGTCACTTTTCTTGTAAAGTTTAATGAATGAAATTGCATTAATGTGCACTCCTAATTTTGTCTTGTATGTTTATTTTTACTTTTAAGCGTATGAGTAAAGGTCTTGATCAAAAACATTCTTGATATTTGTATTTGGTATTTTTGTAACACAAGGCTGTTTTTATTTCAGTAGATTATTACAATTAGTTAATTTTCGTATCTGGTTATACAGTAAAGCATGTATCTGTACACACCGTATGTAAACGTCTTGACCAAAAACACTGATATTTATTTTTGGGATTCTTGTAACGTGCATGGCTGTTTTTATTTCAGTAGTTGAAAGATTATCACAATCAGAAAGTTTTTTTTTTATCGTACCCTGTTATACAGTAAAGTGTTTATCTGTACACCCCATGTAAATTTCTCTTAGAAAATATATAATATTATTTTACTGGGTCTTTTAAATAACAGGACATTTATACATATACTGTGTGGTTTTAATTCTTATACAAAAACTATAACAACAAATATATACACTTACACATTAATTCAAATACTTATTACTGGATAACATCGTCTATAGAAATTACTCTTTGAGAGTTAGTTCTTAGCCAATAATAATATACATACATTATATGTTAAAAGAGTACTGTTTGATGACTTTGGTCCGTAATAATATACAACATACTCTTCCTCACAATAGATAACAGTTCACAGTAACTCCTGTAGGAATTCATCACACACTTTAAGACTAGTACATTTAATCCAAGGAATGTCTTCAATGGGAATTAGTTTCAACATTCCGTTTTGGATCAGACCACAGAATATCCAAAGTCACTTTCAGGTTGTTCCTGTATTTTTGGCGTTTGTTGATGGATTTGTGCCATCGTAAAAGTTTGTTGTTGAGGGGGATGGTTTTGATGTTGACAGGGTTGATTTCTCATAGATAAATTTTGTAAATATTGCCAACTAAGATGGCTGCTTACTTGTATGTCATTTAAGTTAATTTGATTTTTGTTGTTGGATATTGTACAAGTTGGTGTTATCGCGAGATCATCATGGGCTAAGTGCTTCGTTGGTGTCCGTTCACATTTTGAAAATCTCACAGATTGGCTTAACACAGAGTCACGATTTGATTTGATCGGTTTGAGTAATGGAACATCTTGCGATTGATTGGCACCAGGAAGATATTGTCCAGATCGCGAACTACGAAATCCTGAATCTTCCGAATCGGTAGAACTATGTGATGCTTGAGATCGAGGTCTGTCTTTACACGTGGTCACTTCACTAAGTCCCGACATGCCGCTATCGGGACATGCATTATACATTGGACGAGCACCTTTAGGGTTGTTTGCAGCACTTTCATTTTCTGTGGAGGGACTTCGACTAACTTGATAACCAGTATTATCGGCACCATCCCTATCCACTTGAATACGCGGCGGTAAATTCTCAAATTTAGGTGGAGGTGGTGGCACAAAGGGTATTCCAAGTTCTCTCATACGACCATGGGGATCGTGTTTTTTGTATAGCACATCGCGTCGTGCTTTAATCCGTTTTAAGCACACCATGAAGACAACGAATAATATGACGGTAATTATGGTAGGTACTAAAACTCCGACATAAAACAGGTAGTTCATGGTTTGTTTACTAGTCATTCTGACTGCTATAACACACACCCATTATTACATCCAAATAAACATAAAACTGGTTTCAAACCTGAAAAACATAGAAAAAAAAAGAATTAAATTAGTTACATCATTAATTCATTCTTTAGATCTTTAGATAAGTTAACTAATTGACTTCATGTGACGTGAGATTTTCACTTTGAAATCCAGACACTAGTCAGCTTGCATACCAAAATCTTACATTCTATCTGATAAGATAAAGGGCAATTATCACCCCAGGTCGCTTGAATTTACATACCACACCTTTGTCTATTAAATCTGTTAGAATATTCATTATTGTAACATGATCTCGTATTGGTTAGCTTTACACATGGTTTTTATGTCCGAGTTTATCTATGGTCAATATTATATAATTGGTGTAAAATTACTGAAATGAAATCCATAGTCTATCTGATTTACCTACAATAACAGCTAGTTATCATCTTCCATCATAGATTGTTTATCTGGATATGTTTGTAACATGATGTTTGTAAGACGGAAGACTAGTGTTTCACTTTGAACACAGAGATTTTTGTATTGTCCCAGAATATAGATTACCTTATAGATAGACTAAGTGATGTTTTAATTGACTTTCTCTTTGATCTACTTGACTACATCTTTAAAAGATAAAGATTCCTCATGTATTGTATTTGATAAAAGTTTTATTTTAACAGATTTATGGTTTTGATAGGATAGACTAAGATAGACTGCTATATTTTAACAGATTTATGATTTATGATTTTGATAGGACTTACACGTAGACTGCTATTTATTGGTTAAATTGTATTATTTTGATAGGAATAGGACTTACACGTTACAAGAGACTCAGAGGAAAATTATCTTTCCCTATAAATGGTGCCCATATGTGGAATAAGCTACCAAGAACAATTAGAGAAAGTTCAACTTTTGTTAAAAACACACTTGCTTAAATATTACTACAAACTGTGACATTTGTTAAGCGCTTAGAAATATCACTGGATAATAATGTACATGTAGTTATATTTTTGTAAAAGTTGTACGGTTTTGAATTTTTTTTTTATTTACAGATTGCATAACAGATTTTTTCAAAAACAATAGATTTATATTTTTTTCAGTTGTATAGTTTTTAAAATAGTTTCGCATGGAACCTGTCTTTTATTTAGTTTTATCTTTAGTGAATATTATAGGTATTGAGTGACAGCTAGTGGTGATTATGGTAATGAGATAGTATTTGGATCAATGTAATAGATGATAAGTTATAGTACCAGATGCTACCCCCTGTTGTCTCATCTACCTCCTGTACCAGATCAATTATACATCTATAAATATTTTAATATCTTAGTCCTAAAAAGATGTTTCACTAATCAATTAAAGTCAAATTGATTATTTAACATTTCATTTAATAAAAAATATTAAACAGTAGATTAATATCCTAGCTTCAGATTAAAATGAAGCCCATCATAAGCTTTTTTATATTGTCTGCAGAGAATACTGAATGTTGCAAAATCTTCAATGCATCAAATCTCTGGAAATACTGAACATAATTGAACCATTTTTGGACTGAAATCAACATTAGTTTTTATCATAGTTCTATTAAATTAAACCAATGTCTACATACATGGTAATAAATTAATTTTTTTGTGCAACCTGCCTTATATTATAAATTGAGATGACATTTATATCAAAATATGTAATAGGTTATGTAATTTTTATGTAGGAAATTTAAATACAGAAGGAAATGAATTTACCTTTACCTGTAATTAGATCATACCCTCATCCTTTAGATATAGTTACTGTTACCTTTTTAGTATTACCTTTAGTAATGGATTGTACAACTGTATTGACCTACTGGTGTTGCAGTGTCACGAACTTGCATGTATAATCCGTATTAAATTATTGTTTTTCCCTATTCTAGTTTTCCTTGTCATTAGTACAGGTAGGGCTGGCATACTCAGAACGTGTCAAAATTGAATATAATTTGCTTCATGTATCTCAAGTGTTAAGAATGTGATCAGAGTATTTGCCTTAATGTTTTGAGTACTAAATGTCTTAATGACATTTGCTTTGTTTACATACTAATTAAAGATGAGCAGTGATGTCAAAAACATGAATATTAATGACCTGATCCAAATACCATGCTAAATTTAAATTGACTCTTTAAAACTTTTTTCAACTAAAGGTGAGGAATGACAATAATTTGAACCTTGAATAAATCGTCATGTAACTCGTTTATCAAAACCTTTAGTCTGACAGGTTGAATTAAACTACCATGTCTATTTTCAGATAATGTCGACCTTTATTTTTATAGTATTTAAAAAAAAAAAAAAGAAAATCTAAAAATTGATATAATACAGTAGTCACCTTTCTTTTATGTATGAATTATTTAGGTTAGATTATTTGCAGTAAAAGGATGAAATATTTCTGAAATGTGTTAACATACTGAATGATGTTGAACCTTTGATTTTATGTCATTTCGGGGGTTGGGTGGCCGAATGGTTAATGCATGTGCGTTACATCATAAGGTCTGTCATTGAGTCAAGTGGCATGGTTTCAATTCCCTGGTTGTATGTGACAAGGAGTAGGGTTGCCTGTCCAACCTCGTGAGTTTTCTCCGTGTAATCCAGTTTCATCCTGCTGCTAAAGACCCCTACGCGCAAGTGAATTGTTGAAATAAAAGTGAACCATATTATTTTTTATGTTAGTCCCAAAATGGCCTAGTTCTTGTTGAGTGGATGTTAAACCCCATTTCTCTCTATCTCTCTATGTTACTTTGTGTCTTTTTTTTCAGTGTTTTAATTAGTGTTATTAATACAGTTATGTCTGGCCCAATGTGTCAAATACTAGATGAATACTACCAGACATTTTGTCAGTTACAACTAAGACTGTTATTTTCAGCTCAGGCCTGATAAAGACTGTGTTTCTTGTCCATATTATGTAGACCTAGAAATTCTTAACTCAACCAACTTAACCTAGGACCTAGAATATCAATCATTATCACACTAATTAACTTCATGTTTTATATTATTAATTGAGTTACCTAATTAAAAAGCACTGATGTCATCCTCTTGATGTGACTTTACCTGGCTTGTTAATTATTATTGGCTGATAAACTGTACCTCACTCTACATGAAACAGGTGCATAGAGACCATAATTTTTGGTGTGACACTTATATCACGGGGATATTTTTTTATATCCTTTCACTATTAATCTATTTATAGATTAAGTATTTCACAAAATGATAGAAATAAATCTTGGTATGTCGTTATGTCGTCAAATATTTTGAAGACATCATGGCTAATTAAAGATCAATCAAAACTACACCACACCTCAACAGTTGAATAACTTGAGCAATTTGCGATAATATCTCAAGTTTTTCTTTAATACATTATCATAAAGGATTTAAAGTCTTATATAATTTAAGAGTACATGAACCATGAAAGTTCAATGATGTTGGAAAGCTATTATTTGGTTTTTCACTTGTTAGGGTTTGAACCATGCATGACAGAAAGTGTTCTTTTATATCTGGCACCGGTTTGTCTTTTAGCAGTGTTTTTAATAGTATTTATGAATTCTGATACATTTTTTTTATTGATATTGATAACAATTATGATAAATAAATTTATTGATAACAATTATTATAAATAAATTTATTGATAACAATTATTATAAATAAATTTTTTGAAAATACTCAAAGAAATACTATGATAAATATTTAAATGTCCTGTGAATTTCTTAACTCTGTAAAACTTTAAAATACTAGATTTACAGGGATAACATATAACATACAAGATGAAATAATTGATGAAATAAAAATGAGTTATGTATATTTTTCTAATACTATTAATCAACCTGTTAATAAAAAGATAAAAGAGCTACCAGGTGTAGAAAATAGTGTGTTAAACTTATTCTAGTGTATTGTCATTGATTTCTAGAGTTTTTATTAAACAATTTTTACCACCGGTGTTTACAGATGTAGAAAATACCACCCAAGTTTGGGTCGACACATGGTGTCTTTAATCAATACTAACACAGTTCACCGGTTTTAAAGTTAAATATCTTTACCTTGTCTGAAGTATATCTCATAGTATAGTATTTAAATATATCCAATATACACGGTGAATTACTTATGTCCAGTTAAACTGCTACAATCCTATATGATAAATATACAATATCGAGAGTTGAACTAAGCTGTGTTACACTGATGTATATTGGTGGAAGTCAAGCTTATCAATGGCTTTATATGACAGAGGCTAGTTCTTAACCTCCTGTATTACACCAGGTACTTCACACAATACCCTACCTGAACTAGCCAACCATTAAATCAGCTAGCTAACAGTTTGACCCTGACAACCCATGACCCCTATTCTCATTGGCTGAGAACACTCAAGTTTGGATAAGGATGTAATAACTGTTATGTTAGTTAGTTTGGCTACCTGGAGTTGACATTAGGACTATTATATAATCTCCCAAATCTTACACTTACTAATTACTAATGCAATCAAACTTTTGGTAGAAGAAACCAGCTATTTTCTTTGTTGACTGACTTGTGTAAGTTTGTCATTGAGCAATTTGTTCTTATGATTAGCCCACACAGATAAATTCATTAGTACATCTTATTTAATTGAAACTCAAACATAATTACATATATTCCTTAATTAAATTTGTATAACCCTAAGAGTTGTTTGGCATATAATTACTCACACTTCAAAATGGCAGAGTATTTATTTATAACTTTGAAGTAATTTGTACTTCTTGAGAGATAAGTGTTTAGAAATAGTTATTTTGAAGTAAAAACATCATTTTGATATTTTTATTTTTTAGAAATTTTAAACATTATTGATTATAAGGATAAGAACAAAAACTGTTTCAGACAAAATCTTTAAGTGAGTGGCATTTAGCGCTTGTGCTTTTAGAATAAACCAATGATTGTTTTCCTTAAAAAAAATCATCTTTGCCTGCGTTATCAATCACTGAAGCAGACGTAAAACCCTACAAACGAACCCATGAAAATTGTGTTCTGTTAATGTTTCAAGTAAATTTTTATTTCATTTTCATTAGACAGAAGAAAACTG